TTTTTATTAGATTTAGATTGGTTTGGATGGGATCAATCAATCCATGAACACCCCTACTTACAATTTGGTTTGCCTGCAAAGCTGCAGTGTGGATGGGTTTCATTTTTTGGAATGGAATGCTCTGAACTTGTGCTAGGAGATTGAGTAGTCGTGCTTTTTAAGTGGGCATCGTACTGGTGCTATTTCTCACAAAAGGGTAATTCTTTACCAGTCACCAAAAATTTGAGAAGTACTGCTCATAGATCCAGTGGTGTTTCTTTTGTAGAAGAAAAGTTAAGAACTTGTTATTAGGAACTGTTATTTTAGAAAAAGTAAGAGAAAGGACAATTGAGATTTATAAGAATCGGTGGATTCACTGGGAGTAGAAGGACTTGCGCCTTTTGGGGAGGATTAAAAGCTAAATAAAAGTGAGAATCACGAATGATGAACCCATATGCATAAGTAAATATTCTTCTGGTTTTGATTACGGGAAAGAGGAACAAGTGCTTCCGAGTATCAGCCATGGAAAAAGTGTGTTCTTTCTCAGAATTCCTATTTCTTCCCAAAATAAATTCAGCGAGTGATGATTTACAAAGGGAGGAGTAAAGAAGAAAAACAATGTAGAGAGACAAAGAAGAGACACAAACTAGGGAGAAAATAGAAAATGCATAATGGCTGAATCTTTAAGAAAAAAATAAAATAAAATAAAACAAAAAGATATATATAAATCAGAAAAAGCAACCGGTTGAAAGTGAGTTCCCAGTTTAGATGTCATATCCAGTTGCTACCTGTCACGAGGAAGACACGAGTGTCCAAGCGGGTGTTAAAAGGCGAGTGCCCTTAGCACTGCTCTTACAACAAGAGCAAAATACTGACTGAAGAGTTAAGACAGAGAAAGTTAGTGGCTAGTTACCAGCACCGAACCCATGGAAGAGACGATGGAGACCCGGCACAGAGCGAGACTCGCCATTGTTGAACTGGTCAACATGCTAAGCGTTCCTATGTCCCTCAACGCCATCGTCCGCCTCAACGTTCCCGACGCAATCTGGCAAGGTGGGACTAATACCCCTCTCACCGCCTCCCAGATCCTCACGAAAGTTCTCCCCTCCGGCGGTGGGGATGCCGAGAACCTCCAGCGCATCCTCCGTATGCTCACTAGCTATGGTGTGTTCGCCGAGGTACTGGATGATACTGACCGTGCGGAGAGAAAATACTCACTAACTGAGATCGGGAAGATGCTCGTCACCGACGCCGACGGTCTTTCCTGCGCGTCTTACGTGCTCCAGCACCACCAGGTTTATTTATTTCAGTTTTTCTTCAATCCAATTTTCCCCAAGTTTAATGAAATTTTCGTTTAATTGTACTTGTATCATAAAAATCGACGATTTGTTTTACAGGACGAGCTAATGAAAGCATGGCCATTGGTTCACGAGGCGGTGGTGGATCCGAAATCGGAACCATTCGTGAAGGCGAACGGTGAGCCGGCGTACACTTACTACGGGAAGAGGCCGGAGATGATTGGGTTGATGCGGAAGGCTATGTCGGGAGTCTCCGTGCCTTTCATGAAAGCAATGCTAGAAGCCTACAGTGGGTTTGATGGGATCCAGCGCCTGGTTGACGTCGGCGGCAGTGCCGGCCATTGCCTGAGGATGATATTACAGAAAAATCCCAATATTCGTGAAGGCATTAATTTCGACCTGCCTGAGGTCGTTGCCAAAGCACCAAACTTTCCCGGTGAGGTTTC